AGCACAGTCCCCATCTGGATTGTTGTTTGCATTTTTCCATATGGAATGGAAGCCCCTATCCTTCCCTACTGTAGAAATTTTCTGGAGTTTCTAAGTCTGGTTAATAGAATGTCATCCTGCAATTAAAAGTCTGTTAATTTAAAATAAAACCTTCAAGTTTAAGCTTCATACACTCTGGTGCTCAACAATTTATAATGGTTTATACTGCAATTGAAATATTTTTGAAAACTTTCAATACAAGCTGTTTTTTTTCCAAGAGATATAATTTGTATTCTTCTTAAATTTACTTTGATTTTTTTTAACCCAGACATAGTGTGAAATATAATCAAAGAGTCCTATATAAATAGAACCAGGCAAAGATGATTTGCTAATAAAAAAGTAAAAAAAAAAACCTCTGCTGGCAACAATACAGACAACAGAGTTTTCTGAAGGTGGTATTCACCCTGCTTTCATGTCCTCGGGGTTGAGCTGACTAGAAAAGCCACAATAAGAAAAAAAAAGAGGGGGCGGAGAAGCAGTGACAAAAAAACCCCAGATGTTGCATAAACATGACTTACCTCAAGTTCAGTGTTTAAATATTTATCTTTCCAATAATCCCCAAGCAAAGTTCATTTAACCACTCTAGTTCCATGTAATTTATTTGTGGAATATGCATCAGCCTAAATCTAATTTTGCTCTGCTTACTTTGGAGAAAGGAAATTAAAAGTGAAATAATGAAGGTGGCCTTTTATTCTTTTTTTTTTTTTCCCCCTTCTTTCCCAGAAACAGGCAGGAAGAGCCCTAAATCAATAAACAAGCAGCAGATGTACTTTCTCTGGTCTGTTTGGTTTGCAGAAAACACAATTTCCAGATAAAGTGGGGGCTTAGCCAGGCAGGAGCTCCGTCACCAGCCCAGCCTTGGCCTCTCAGCACAAAACCTCACACTCCACCAGCTGCTGGCCTCACAGACACAATTTTGGGGGTGTGGAGCCACAGTTTCCACCTGGCAGCTAAAAGTGGGTATAAAACGCTCTCTGCAAGGAGGAAGGTTTAATATCCCCAAGGCAAGGGGGGAGCTGAGGTGATTTGTGTTATCTTTTTAGATAGGGTAGTGAAGAAACAAAAAACTCGAGGGGATGAAAAGAGTAGAGCTTTAATTTATTAGTGGGAAAGGAAAATGGGCCTTGTTTGTGATTCCTTGACCCAAAATTGAAGGTTAAAGCTGTTTGTGAATAAGTGCAATACAGGTCCCAGGGCCACCTGAATTCCCAGGGACATCAGTGGGAATTGGAGAAGCTCTGGAAGTTCTGAGCTCCCTTTGAGACACCTTTGACTGCCACCACCTCCTGGAGAGGCAGGAGCTGCACAGAGCAGCCCCATGTGCCCCCTGAAATCAGCCAGAGCTGGAGATGGTCCTGGGTTATGGAGTGACTCCAGCAGGAGATCCACCTAAAACGCCTTTGTCCCCACAACTGGTTTGTCTATTAAACACTCACAGCCATCTAAATCAACACAAAGTGATCTGATGGCAGAAAATCTGCTGTTTTCAAAGCTGCACAGCATGGGAACAGAAACTGTCATTAAGAAGGAGAACACAAAGCGTAATTCAGTGAATCAACGAGAGCAGCTCCCACAGATCCCTGGAAGAAACCCTGAAGACAAAAAATTCTGCAGAAACAAATTTGATTTTGATTCTGGTGTGTCAGTGTTTAATTCATCCTTCCACCAACTGTTTGGACAACTGCTGCCTCAAAAGTCAAGTAACACTTTGCCACCTTATAAAACATTTACCCAAATTGCTGTGACTATAAACTGTAAGGATTTTTTACTGTAGTATTTCAGAGGTGACACCTATAAATATGCTCCTGTTTGAAGCAGGCTGTAGCTCATATGGAGGATGTGGAATTTAAAATCCATGAAAGCTTGTCTATTTTGTGAAATGCTACTCTAACTCTGAATTTTCAAAGTGATTGCACAGGTTTGGTACAAGATGTGTAGTGTGACTTCATCAGGTAAAATGAAAGTAGATTTCAGAGGTAATTGAAATTCCAAATGAGGACCAGGAAGGAAAGAACCGAGTCAAAGCATCGAGTAGGCAACAGATAAATTATTGGTGTGGAAAATCCTGCTCATTAGCATTCTCATATAAGATTCATTTGCCACAATGAAGAGAAAATCAGATTGATATGGATAAAAAGTTGTACTCTGTGCACTGCCAGAAGCTAGAGCACAGTGCAGGCAGCCCAAGCAGAAATCTCTGAGCAGACTCAAACTGCCTGACAGCTGGAAGGGACAATGAGGTGGCTGTGGCACATTCCATGACAATGAAAATCCCTTGGGAAAAGCTGTGAGGACAATCCCTGTGCAGCAGAGTTCAGTGCTCCTTGACTCAGCTCCCAGCCTGAGTGTGAACTCGAAGCCAGCAGAGAAATGGGATAGACAGACTGACTGTGCACTGCTGCCTCCTTGGAAAAGTGTGCTGTGGAGTACAGAGAGCAGTGGCAGGGGAAAATCCCAGCATAGCCAGGCACAGGGGGTTATCCTGCAGCTCTGGGTTATTCTGGAATCCTGGGTTTTCCTGGAATCCTGGGGTTTCCTCAGCTTTGGGTTATCCCCAGCGCTGGGTTATCCTCAGCCCAGGGTTATCTGCAGCTCTGGGTTATCCTGAAATCCTGGGCTTTCCTGAAATCCTGGGTTATCCTGAAATCCTGGGCTTTCCTGAAATCCTGGGTTTTCCTCAGCCCTGGATTATCCCCAGTTCTGGGTTATCCCCAGTTCTGGGTTTTCCTGCAGCCAAAGGCTGAGGGTGAGAGGAGAGGATGGGCAGGTGGGGAAGGGCAGGAGAATGGAGCAGAGCTGCCCCTCTCTCCCCACCCCAGCTCTCAGGGTGATGTCCATCATTCATCCATCACCTGTCACCTCCAGAGGTCACAATATCCCAGAGTCTGGGGTTCAGGGGAATTCTCCAGCAGCAGGAGCCCAGTGGATTTAGTGCAGGACTAATTACAATCAGTGATGGTAATTAATGCCCATTGGTGGATACCAATCATTGGAAAAGATAACAAGGCCCCTGACAAATCTGAGATTTAGCTTTAGCATTTTTGCATTCTGCAAGTTCAGTTGAAAGTATTTAATTCTCTTCTGTATCTAGAAGGTAGCGGACAACGAATTCGTAACTTGTCATAAAATAATTTTTAAATTTTGTTCTGAGCATAATGTCCTTCCACTGATTATATAATTAATTTGATTCTACTAGATAGAAAAGTCTTTAGGACACCCAGAACACAGCTGGATGTGCTGTTCTGGAGAATCCTGGACAAAATGTGCCTTAGGGACCGGTAGAGAGGAGTGTTTGCCCAACATATTCCTTTACCGCTTGAATTTTGTGAATTGAATTTGATATTGAAGTTGACCAAGTTGGTCTGTTTAGATCACCTCTAACAGCAGCCCTGGGATGTGCTGTGGGAACAAATCAATGGTTCCCAATGAATTCCTTCATGCTCCCCAGTCCTACTGCCCTAAGTGAGGCTTGGCAATCGATAGTCCCAGAGGTGCTGACCCTGCCACGCCTGCCTGGGTGCTTTCTGCCTTCCCTCTGCAAGCTTCCAGCCTTCTCCATCTTTTCCCTCACGTGAAAGAAGCCTGTTTCCTCTAGGTAAGAACAGGGATGTTGACAGGTCTAAAGAATTTTCAGGTGTTAGTCCTGGGCTTGAATCCATCCTTTTGGTTTGAAGCCAAAACTTTAGACTGGAAAAGTAAAAAATCCCAGTGTGGCAGTGTGAAATCAGGACATTTTGTACAGGATTCCTGGCTCAGTGTTCAGTGTGGATCTAAAGGCTGAAAACTAGACCAATAATTCCTATAATTCCGAATATTTGTGGGTTTTTTTTCCTAACAGATAGAGTGTGTCTTGAGGGGGATGGGAATTAGAAAGAAAAAGGATCAGAGCACTAATATTTGTGTAACTGTTCAGAAATGAAATAAATCTGCTGCTGTAAAACATGTACACTTCTCTCTAAAGGTAACAAGCTACTTTGAGCACACCTAAACCTCAGCCTCAACGAAATGCATTTTCATGAGCCTGGATTGGAATGGTTCAGGTCATGTTAATGAATTTTCAATTCCTAGGCTTGATTTGGGTTGTAACAAAACACAGAATTGTTTAAGCAGCCCTGTCCTGCATGTCAATCCAGAGATGTTCTTTATTACTCTCTAATCAAACCTTGGGTTGCTTCCTCATGGAACATTTTTCTTTACAAAAAGAGGGTGCCCACAGGGTTACACACATCCAGATTGCCACAGCAGCCAAAGCTCCGAAGGTGAAAAGGATTTCTGAACTCTGCATTTATGTCTGTATTCCACTTCCAATGTCAGCCAGGAAATACGGGCACAGATCTGTGCTGAGCGGGATTTACATTAATAAGGAATGCAGGGAAAGAGCTGCGCCTCCAAAACACACCGCTGGGATATTTTTCCTTGCTATTCTAAATTAAATTTGCGATGAAATAATTTCGTTTCAAATGCCTTTTATTGCGGCTTTTATTTGTAATTCATTATTCGCTGTAACCAGCGATTGTTGGAGGCTCACAAGCAGAGCATTGAGCGGTTTCCTTTCCATGAATGAAGTTCTGTCCAGCCTGCGAACAGGGACGGCGGTTCAGGAAAATGCCCAGAAGCGCAGGGGAAGATCGGGGGGCTGCGAAAGCAAACGGAGCTTAAAACAGGACAGCTTTGTTTACTTGCCCAAAATAAGATCGCAAGGCCGGCTTTTAAATCCCGACTGGAAGCGAACTCGCTCGAGATAAAACGCCGGGAAAATCAGCTTCAGATCCGCGTAGGAGCAGTTTCAGCGGGAGCTTTTTGGCGATTAACATTTCGGGCCGATGTCACCGCTGAAGGCGCTGCGAGCTGCGGGAAGGCGGAGCCGCGGCTCGCCCATAAATGCGAGGCTCAGTGTTCAGGGCGATCCGCGGGCGGCGAGCGGCGCTGGCAGCGGAGCATCCCCGAGCAGCGCGGCTCTGGAGCGTTTCCCCGTGCGGAGCATGAGCGCGGCGGGCGGCGGCAGCTCCGGGAGCCCGGGGGCAGCGCTGCTGCTGGCGCTGCTGCTGGCGCTGCCCGCAGCCCTGAGCGGCTGTAGCTGCGCCCCCGCGCACCCGCAGCAGCTGCTGTGCGATGCTGCCCTCGGTGAGTGCCCCCCGAGCCCCGGGGAACAGGGGGAACGCACCCGCTGGAGGCTTCGTGCTGCTCCGGGGCTGGCTGGGCTGGGCTGGGCTGGAGAGCGGCTTTGCATTTACTCGCTTCTTTTTATAGATTTTATATATTCTATGTGTTTTATATATATTAGTTATTCTAGGTGTTATATTCGATATACTTTGTATATATTATACATTATACAATATACATTATACATTATTTAATTATAATATAATATAACTATAATTATACATTATACATTATACATTATACATTATACAGTATACAGTATATAGTATATAGTATATATATTATATATTATACAATATACATTATATATAATATATTACATATTACATATTACATATACTATATTATAGAATGTATATTTATATTATATATTATACAATATACATTATATATAATATATTACATATTACATATACTATATATTATAGAATGTATATTTATATTATATATTATAGATTGTCTATTATATATTGCATATTCTATATATTTTATACACAGAGTATAATATATATTGTATATTATATACTGTATAGTCTATATATTTTATATACAGAGTATATTATATATATTTTATATACATATATTATATTATAATTTTTATATTTACATTTTATATATTTTACTTTTATCATCTATATTTGATATATTTTTAATATAATATATATATTATATATTATCTTTTCTATATTTTGTTGTTATATTATCCTTTTATATGATATACACGATATATTTTATATATTTTACATATTTTACATATTTTATATATTTTACATGTTTTATCTATTTTACATATTTGACAATTTTGATGTATTTGTATATGAGGTCCTAACTTAGAGAATACCTGAGCTTTCCAATATCTACTGCTATATTTACACCACTATCTCCTACATATGAAGTATTCTATCTGCTATATATAAAATATTCTATCTAAATATGCCTGCAATGTGTAGACTGCCCATATAGACATTTTTATAGCACTTCAGGGAAAATAACCAAACCAAAACAACAAAAAAACCAAAGAACCACAAAAAGTAAGTCCCCAGTTCTAACTTGCTGCAACTTTTGAGCTTTGTTCCTCTATTCTATGCTTTCTTGAATTTATTCTTGGGGTTTTCTGTCATTTTCTGGAGCAGGGAACCGATAGGTCCCTTATTTTCTGCAGGTAAGCTGGCTACAGCAGCTCTCTTTTGGGACAGTTGTGCCTCATGACAGCCAGGCAGCGCCGTGGTTGTCAAAAAACTCATAGAAAGAACCTAAAGATCCCAAAATTAGGCCGCAGGGGGATGAGAAAATGGGACATTTTGAGAAAATGTGTCATTTTGCAGCCTTTTGATTTCATTAGCTCGGGCTAAGGCTGGTTAAGCTCCATGGGGTGTGAAGAGTAAATGTAGAACATGAGTTTCCAAAGTGCCACAGAATTAGCATCTCTATGGGGCAGGCAATACCTTCTGCATACTGATTCATTGCTTTTATGCCCTGACAGAAAATCTTTGTGGCCATGACAAACTCTGAGCTCTGTTTGTGGCCATGAGTTAAATTGGTTTTTAATCTGCCCGTGTTCAGGGGTTTCATGGAGGTACCTCCACCAGGCATTACATGCTTGGGGGTGCTTAGGGAGAGAAAGGAAATAAAAGTTGTGCTACAACTAAATGAGTGTGCATTTAACTGTGCAGGAGAAAGTGACAGTTTTTCAACAGACTTAACGTAAAAGTTTTCCAAAATGAACAATTTTACATACAGGAAACTCAAAATGTTCAATATGGGCCACCTTGATGAATATTTTCATTCATAGGGGAGCCATTCTGATGATACAGATTCATATTTACTCCTTTCTTAGATGTATTTTACAGCTATTAACTACTTTAACTACTTTTTACCCAAATACTGAAGATAATTTTATGTTACAATGTTTGGACTTGATGCTCAAGCTCTCACTCCTATAAATATTCCTATCTAAGTAAACTTCCTCTTTTGGCTGAGGAATGTTTATGTCAAAGATCCCTTTGTCCACTACTTATACTTTAAAAATACCATTCCTGTGTATCATAAAATGGGAGATGAAGGGAATTCTCCATCCCAATAAGTACACACGTATTTTTGAACACACATTTGCACACACACACACACACACAGACACATAAAACCTGCTCTGAGTGTTCACGGCTGAATTACTGGATGTGCTTTGGCCACAACATTTTGCATGAGCGGAGCAAAATCCCTGGGAAGGAGCTGGAGTGGAGCTGCCTGTCCTGTGTGAGAGGAAGCTGCAGGGAGCAGCTTGGCAGAGCAGCTCCCCCAGGCCGGTGCCAGCAGCCTTTGTGCCCAGGAGAGGAGCGGTGCCCGGCAGGAAGGGGCACCCCGGGCTGGAGGCACTGCTCATCCCCTGGGAATTGGGGCTGTGCCTCCACAGCTGCCTCGGGGACACATCTGTGGCCTCAGGGACACATCTGTGGCCTTGGGGACACACCTGTGGCTTCAGGGACACATCTGTGGCCTTGAGGACACACCTGTGGCCTTGGGGACTTCAGGGCCACCCAGCTCGCAGCTGTGTGCTGAGAGTGTTCCACTTCTTCAGTCATTAAATTCATCAACCCGTTAAGTTCATCCCATGTAGCCACAAACACAGCCAAGGATTTCCCCGCAGGATTTCCTAGCACACCTTACTAAAATAAAGATGCCCTGACCCAAAACTCGGTGGTAAAACCAGAGATAAAGTCTCAAACTTGCTCATGGAGCTACCAAGCATCCCATGTCCTCCAGCCACTGTGTAAGGGTCATATTTCTGATTTCCTCCAGCATGACTTTGATGGAGGTGGAGGGATTGAATTGACATTACCTGAACCTCTGATTGAATGTGTGAAGCCACTCAGCAACAGCATTTCTGAGAGATCCAAGGAAAAACAAGCAGAGGAAATGAATTTAGTCCGGACAAGCTCTTTTGCTTTGCCTTTCGTTAAGTTGATCGGTGCTGTGACACTTTGTCCTTCGCTGCCAGGAAGTTTTTGTGGCTCTAAATGCCCACAGGCAGCGCAGAACCTGAGTGACCCCAGAGTGCCCAGGGCATTTCTGACAGATCTGGGGTCAGGGAGAGCTCCTGGTCTTGCCTAAAATCAGGGATGAGTGGAGAGGCTGCAGGCGTTACGGGCTGGGAAGAACCGTGGGGTTTGCTGGGGTAAATCAGGAGTGACCTTGGCTTTGTTCATCTTCCCACAGAGCCTTCAGAGGATGTGATTTTGTACAGATTGGGGCCATTTTCATGAACTTCTCAGTAGTTTTAAATTTCGCTCCAGAGCGAGGTAACTCCTCATTTGTAGGAAGTGCCTGGCACCGTGAGAGATACAAAACCAGGGATTCATCCCTCCTGTGCTCCTCCAAATGCTGCTGAGACCCTTCTGAACCGTGCTGAATTCCTTCAGCCCCCAGCAAACACCTCTGCTTCCCCAGAGGACTTTCCCCTGGGAATGGAGAGCTTTAATTAAACATTGTCCGTGTTAATTATCAGTGCTGCCCACAATGCCCAGCTTTTCTCCTCCCAAAAACGTGGGGAGGAGGTGCTGGGTAGCAGATTCAGTAGTGAGGCCCTGGAGTGCCAATACATGGAAACCCTTTGGAAAATTGCCTTTTTTTGGAGAGAAACATGGATGCAATTGAGTTTACCAGATAGTGCCAAGGTAACAGATTTCCCTTTTACCACTGAATTTGTCATCCTGGCCTCAGTTTTGGACCAATGTGCAATCTGGAGACAGAAATGGGGTATGGACAGCACTGATTCCTTTCTCAAGTCTGGCACTTTAAATTCCTGCTGTTTTTTCCCCTTGGGCTACTTTTTGGACAGTAGGAGAAATATATAAATACTTCACATTTCTTAGCTGTGTAAAACCAGCTCTCTTCAAAGTTGGTTCTATTCTTTCTGATTTAAACTGTCTTACTATTGTTTTTTCTTAAAATATATATTGAAAACTATGTTTTTACTGAACAGCAATGGCTAACCGGTCTTGAATACATATATATATAAAATATAGCTTCAGGAAACAGTTCTGCAGCTTTAGGGAAGAGTGGCACATTTCGAAATAGGATGGAAACTTTATAGCTGGAGCTTGGCAGCATTTTCAGCCCATTAAAATCTCCCAAGATCAAGCATTGTAAAGATGTGTCAGATGATATATTGAATTTTAATCACATTTAAACCTAACAGTAAAAATTTTCTTTAAACACGCCAGAATTAAGTTTTCAGAGTCAGCTCTTCTGGGAGATAATCACAATATGCTATTTCTTTATTACTGAGTTTCAAATGAAAACTTTCATGGCTCAGTGTCCCACGATTTTGCCTCTCTGCCATGTAATATCCAGTTTTGTGCTGGAATGGATTCATTATGAGGTGGAAAGCAATTTTTGCCTAGTGGGAAAAACCAGCTTTGGGGAATGTGTTGGAAAGGGGGGGAGATGTTCTTGCAGGTGAGGAGAGGAAAGGTGAGCAGTGATATTCGATGTTTTACTGTTCCTTTATTGGGTTTTGCTCCCTGCATGGGAAGCTCTGCTCACTCACTGAGGCTGCTGAGCCCCCCAGGGGGGTCTGACCCAAATTTAGCTGTGATGCCATTGCCCTTCATGCTTTGGGGGCAGTGACAGCCCCCCCAAAGGACAGTGGGGTGGCAAACCCAGGCTTTCTGTGAGGTTTTTGTGAATCCTGCCAAAAATCAGGGCTCTTGATGCTGTTGCTTGGGCAAGACAGCTCCTGGCAGGATCCTGGGTCGTGGGCGATGCTCCCCTAACTTGGGCTCATGGAATCCTGGAATTCCTACATCTTTTTGGACTTCTCCATAGCATGAAAAACTCATTTCTGTTTCTGCCCTGCCGAGCAGAGGCAGATCCCAGTGCTTTACACCACCTCCTTCCCCTGAGTGCCAATAATTCACATTTCCAGAGCCACTTGTCACTGGCCAGGAAGGAACGTGCAGTTG